CTCTGCAGTGCCAGGTGGTATATCAGGGTTAGATTTCTTGTTAGTAGAAGTGTTAATATTTATTTACATGCTTCTTACCTGTACACTTGAATCTTGACTTCCACTTTTTGAAGCAAATGAGCAATCCTCAGGATCAATTGTGAGGGATACTAGAGCAGATGGCAGAAGCTCAGAAAAAGATCCTTGACTGAAATTTATGGCCTCTGGGTTTCTTTGACCATCCTTCACAGATTCACTCAGATTGATCACAGAATCTCTTATGTTGGAAATAATCTCATTATTTTCTGCCAACAAACGTTCTAAGTGGTCTATTTTCTCTTGTAATATTGAAAGCTGGCCCTGTATTAAAAGAAATTTAAAATTCTATTAGTCCTCAGATCATCTCTTTGCAAATCTAAATATTTGGAATTCCATTTTCCATTCCGCTAAAGTGGTATTTCCTGACAAACATTTTATTGAATACACCATTATTTTGTGTTCACTTATAGAAACAGAACTAATTATGGAAAAGGGCTCCTAACCATCTTGTATTGCTACATGGAAACTTCAGCACCTGAAAGAAAAACAAAGCAACAAAACATGTCTTATACTTTGCTATAAACTTGAACTCATGCTTCAATGTTTAACCAACAATATAAAGGATATTCAACAACGACAGAATAGCTACATTGGGTTTCAAATACCAAATTAATCATGGCAGATAATTACAGGTTAGTCAGGAATTTCAAATTTAAAACTTTCCTTCATGCCTATCAAAATTTTCCAAAAACCTGGCCTTTGCATATACTACTAGCATGTCTTTATCTGAAGAAAAATCTGTTTTTATTACAGAGTTAGTTGCATTCTGAAATGGGCTTGAAAACAAGGCATAAAGTTTTATTTTTCCTATATGTGCAGATGGACTTTCAATGTGACATTTCATAGTTTTTATTACCTTTCAATTTTAAAGATATAGCTACATAAAAATTGGTACCTGATTTCACTGTTTAAAAAAAAAACCACACACACACACACCAGCAGAGGTATGAGGAAGAACAGAAGTGGTACATAATAGGGGGAAAAATATAAATTGCCTGATCCATACTAGCTAATCCTTTTACTTAGATTGAGTACGAGCAGTAGGATAATCCTACAGTTATACAAATTAAACCTGAAATTAAACAAGTTATTTCTATTTGGAAGCAGCTATGAAAGCTCTCTCAACCTGATGGGGTCTTCAGTCATAGGGTCATACCCAATTTTGCAGTGACCAACAGATCTAGTTCTGAACCTTGCTGACAGGCGACATAAGGCAAAGAAGCTGACCCTTCCTCCAGGAAGACAGGGGTGAGTGGAAACCAGGCAAAACAGAAGGACAACAATACATTTATCCATACCTATCAGCCAATAATCTTAGACTGGCTGGTGGGAGTTGAAGCAAAAGGTGCTGTGCTTCCTACCAGGATTCTAACCCTTAGACCACTCTGCCCCTTCCCTTAATCTCAAATCAGTTCCAGCTAGTGAGTAGGCAGTACATTTACAAGCTCCAATAATTTTTGAAAAAGATGTTTTATACAATCACAAGAGGCTAGATGGCATCATTTGGGTTTTTGACATGCGGATATTTTTGCTCACTAATAATTTTTTTCCCCCCAAGTTTTATCTCCACCCTAGTATTTTGGGTCCACAGGTTCCAACATCAATAAGAAAGGTTGAGGGACAGAGGGACTTTAAACAAATTCTTAAATAAAGCCTTGACCTATCCCAAAAGTATAGAATTCATGAGTCATTTTTGACCAAAAAAAAAAAAAAAATCTCTTTCTCCACATCAAAAAAAAAGAATATTACAGGTCAAGATTTCTGCCTAAACTTTGTTCATTATGTTCAACACATAGCTAATACTGTCACAGAGCAACTGCCCTTTAATGAATCCTTTTAGTGATCTGCCTGTTTTAGCAGAGTTTATGACTTAACACTCAAATTTTTGCTGGTACCTTGCTGTTTCTCTTTTATAATACAGCTGCTAACAGACATCGTCAAAGGGATTCTTACTTGAATATAAACAAGCATTCATTTTTAAGATGAGTGATGAAGCCTCAATGTCCTATAAACAGCATCAGGGCCTTCAGTGGCAGAAAGGATAGATAATCCTCAAAATCAGTGACAGAACTCCAAACGGAATGTTTTCTCTCACCATTCACCTGAAACATGCTCTTGCACATCCCTTTGAAGGCCCAAATTGTTTCCTTAACATGTAAAAACAGTGCAGAGATCTATACTTCAATTTGAAGCGACTTAGGCTATGTCTACATTGCACACCTTACAAGAGTACGGCTGTGCCGCTGCAGCCACACCATTGTAAGGTGCGCTGTGTAGCCGCTCTTTATCACTGGGAGAGAGCTCTCCTGGTGACAAAATAAAACCACCTCCAATGAGGGGCAGTAGCTTCGTCACCAGGAGCACAGCTATCCACACCAGCGCTTTTCGTCATTAAAACATCTGTCAACAAGGGGTGCATTTTTTCACACCCCAAGTGACAAAAGTTAACGGCGAAAGTGCCAGTGTAGACAAACTCTTAAATTTTTTCCAACTATTCCACTAAGCCATAGGCTTCTTGTTTAAATTCTGAGGCGTAGAGTCTTTTGTGTAATTCCCCGAAAAGTGTTTACTTTGAATGAGTTTGTACCATGAGGACCATCCCTCATCCAGATAAGACAAAATGGCCTTTTTGACTACCCTATATAGGCATTTCCATTACTTTTAAACCTTACAATAGCAGTGTTAGGCCCAAGAAAATGGAGTATAGAACAGTTTGTTTGGCCAGCTTAGCCAAAGTTAGGCTAACAGTAGTTGCTGGGCCATTCCTGTCTCTCTGTGAAACATGAAGACATGCTTGCTTGGGCTTCAAAGAATGAGATGGGGGGGGGGGGGCAAGCATTCTTGTACCAGAAGTGCTAGGAACAGTTTGTTTGGACATATGGAGACTTGCAGTCTCCACTCCCTGTTTCTGTTCTTAACTCCCTCCTTTCTCCTAGTTTCTGGTGCATGACAACAAAGCTCATAAGAAGTTGCTGAGGCATCACGAATTGTTTGTAGTGTCAAAGAAGATAGATATGCATGAATATTAGAAGCTTTCTAACTAATAAAGGGGGGTTGGGTTGTTTCTATGACGCGACGGAACTGTCTATATAACCTTACTAGTTATTGTAATCGTGGCTGGTTCTCAGTGGAGACGGGCCGCTCTCTATTGTTGTGCACACTCTTCAATAAAGAGCTTGTATTGGACCTTGCTGGTGTTGCCTGTCTCTCTCTGCGGTCAGACAACGAACGGTGCTGTCTGGGTTAAAAGTCCCCGATCGCAGTTCTTTGCAATCATATGGAAGACTTGTTTCATGATTTTATAAGCTTTTCCAGTTTGCCTCTTCATTTTTTTCGACTACATAATTTCTTTTGAAATAGAATCTGTGTTCATTCAGCCTGTTTAAGTTAACCTTCTCTAAATACTAAATTTTAAAAAGTAACTTTCTTAGCAGAATACTTTGTTTCTACTCACTGCTTCACAAACATATAACATGGCTGTTGCCCTGCCAATATTCCACTTGTTTTATCATGTTTACAAAAGGTATCATGACGACGACTAAATTCCCATCCTTCCATATATTACAGATTGGTTAACCAAACAGGGATACAGGCCTACCCCACCAAAACAATATCCTAGATATCTGTAAAGGTTATGATTCCAAAACAAACAGAAAATTGATATGTATATGACGGAGTACTGTGGAGAAAAATAAGTGTAGTCCCATGCCCTCTGGTGGTACAAAAGACAAACATCTGAGGCCAAAATCTCTGCTGGGTTACAGCCTGCTTTAAAGCAAAATCCAGACTAATTTATATCTCAAGACAGGAAACATGCCCGGGTTCAAAGCATATATAAACCCGGGCAAAAGGTTTGTGAGCGTGGATAGTAGGAGGGGTTGGGCTAAACCTCTGGAAAGAGCACAGGTTAGCTCTGCAGTGAAGTCATATCCTGAGAACCCCACTCAAGTCAGTCAATTGAGCTCTGTGTAGGCACTTAGATCCACCTGCATGGATCGAATTGCAGAACCAGAATCTTGATTTTTTTCTATAGTTTCACTTTAAAATGGACATCCATATTTTAAGATAAAGCAGAAGGCAAAAATAAACCTATCAAAAGGTGAAACGCGTAAGAAAGCAACAAATAGAGAAATTATTTTTAATATATTACTCTTTAGAGTTCTAAATATTTAGATTCTATAGCAAAATGTTTCTTATTTTAACTGTTGACTAGTGCAACACTGCAAAATTCTACTTTGCCTCTCGCCTAATGCACTCCGGGGGGAGGGGGGGGAGAGAGAGAGAGAGAGAGAGAGCAGACAAAAACAATATTATTTGCTCTCTATTAAAAGCAGATATAGCAGCCACCACTATAGATAAGTCTGTATGATTGCTTCCATTCTAATCTTGTTTTTAGTTGCTCATAACTTTCTGAAATTTTCACTTTTCAAGCTATTTTCCAGGCTCAGTTTCTACTTGATAGGTTATTTTTAAGTGTTTGAGCAAATATGGTCCAACCATTTTTTTTTTTTTAGTACAAGTGGAACTTGAGTACTTTTTGCTTTTTAAAAAGCTATCTAGTTGAAATGGCTTGGAGTAGACAGTTGAAGTTTGGCACAGAAATAGGTTTCTTTGGGAATTGAGTGTTCTAATGATGTTTATTTATTTGATCAAGTTATGACTTTTTAAAAATCACATGTACAAAATGTACTTATGTACATCATTTTTCACTAAGCCCATAAACAGTGTAGCTACTGAAGGCTATGCTACCCATGCTTGGCTAATCTGACTGTATAATCAAAAAAGTTTACTTGAAGTGTGCATGAGCTTGAGACATGAGCTCAGTCCCTGTGGTGAAGGTACTGAGGCATTATATATGGTTGCTTCACTTTACTGAGGTTTGCAATGGACTATGAGTTCCACAACTCCAAAGGTTTGCAAAAGAGAGACTCCTTCCTGTACAGCATTTTAGGCATATGTGCAAACCACTCTTGTGATATTCATTTGAAGAGTTTCAGATTATGGAATTTGTAAGTGCTGTTGCCAATTTTTTTGCGGGGCGGGACGGGGCGGGGGGGCTGTTTTTTGGTGCAACCCAACAGAGTTTCAGAGCTCTAGAAAATTAAGATCCTTTTTGTCGTCTTCTTCACTCTTAAAGCCTTTAGAATACCATACCAAGATGTCATTATGCTTGCACATTTCAGCACTCAAAATTCAAGAAATGACAATGTTAAGGTTATATGCACCAACCACCTTAACTCAGCTGTCTTGGGAATACGTTA